TAAAATTTGTAACAGCTGTTGAAATTGTTGCTAGGAATTTTTCCTATTGTTATTTTTAAATTGCAATGCAAGTCGTAGCCAAACAAAACATTTTGCCTCATCTGCATAGTAGACACATAATAATAAGCTAAGTCTATTGGATAAAAAGCCTCATGTTCATGGAAGGATACCTTGCCTAGCTTAGTTACAGGGGGAAGGTCTTTGTCCTGCCTCAAATGATGTGACAGACTTTGTTGACTCCTCACTCTCTGAGGAGTGGAGGGTGGGTGAGAGAAAGTAGGGGGAGTGGGAAGTCAGGAGGGAGAGGGAACGGGGATTGGTAGGAAAATAAGATTGTAGTTGTTTGTTTGTTTTCTTATGTTTTGTTTTTAAAGCTTCATGTTCTTTTAAGGGCACCAACAAAATCCTTTCTTCCTCTGGAAGAAAGTAATGGTTGCATCTGCTTAGTTACTTCTTAAATGTCTCTCAGCTGTTTTTGGTGCCACAGCCCAGGAAACCCAGCTCCCCACCTGTCTGCATAAGGAAAGTTTTGTTGGAACACAGCTGCACTCACTTGTGTATTGTCTTAGCGTCTGCTTTTCCCCAGCAACCGTGAGCAGTTGTAACAGAGTCCATATGGCTTGCAAAGCCTTACACATTTACTATCTCGCCGCTTACAAAGAGAGTGTGCCAAGTCCTGCTTTTTATGTACTTCCTCCAGAGCTCTTTCTAAAGCAGATAAGATGTGATTCATCAGCTTAGCAACACTAAGTCACTTTTGCTGTTGGTAAGATAACTCCTGAAGCCTTTACAAGTCTCTTTGCAACCAATCTCACACTAGATTAACGTCAAATCACCTGTTTCCTGGTATAACTTGAAGACCGGTTTTAAAAGTTTGGCCTCCGGATTTAGTTTATTGAACCTACATAGTAATTTGGTTTGGTTTTATTGAAATTGACATTTTAAAGCTAGAGAGCATCTCATGGAAATCCAGGTTACTACTTACTGTTGACAGATGAGGACGTGGAATGGCGCCGGTCCCACAGCCCTTGTTCTAAGTGTTAGTTAATGCCTTTAGAGTTACAGTCTCCCCGTCTGCACACCTGCATTCAGGTGGCATGAACATCAGCACTTAGACCCTTTCCTCAGTCCTTTGGTCTGTAGATCTTGTCTCCTGATGCACTTTATAATCGCAGTACCTCCTGGTGGTTCTCTGCAGCGCTCTTCATCTTTTAAGACTCAGCGTTGTTGTGAAGAGCACCAGTCACAGCTTCCTCTCTGGTCCTGTGCTGACTCATTCATTCCTTGTGGCACTATTCCTCTAGCTAGAGAGGCACATAGGGACTAGACCGTAAGTCCTTCGCAGCACTGTTTGTATCCTAGTCATCTTCCTGGTCCTGCTACCAAGCTTGTTGCTTGCCAGTGAGTGGAGGTTATGTCAATTTTCTGAATTGTACTGTGATAACATCTAAACATGACAGTAGAGGGTTGATGAGACAAGAATTAATAATTTCCCTCTTAAATGTTTACTCTTTTCCTTGGGTGCCTCTTCCCTCCTCTTGGCTCACAACAAGCACATCCGCCTTTCAGCCCCCTGTGCATTATAACTGTGTCAGGGTCATCACAAGCCAGTAAGTGATGGGGCAAAAGGGGCTTTCCTCGATCCTTACCTGAGCGCCATAAGGCTTAGACATGTGACTTGGGGGCCGCGTCTCACGTGTGCACTTTTGGTGTTTGGTTTTTGAAACATGGTCACACTATGTAACCAAGGATGGCCTAGAATTTGCTATGTACAACAGGCTGGCCTCAGATTACTGATCCTGTTGACTGAGCCTCCCCAATGCTGGGATTAGTAATGTGCCTCTACACCTGACTTGCATATGCTCTCATGGATGATTTGTTTTCTGGGTCTCAGTGTTTAATGCAATTGAATAATAATAATAATATCTGCCACATAGAGTTCTTAGGAGATGTGCTTCAATTCTTAGTCTGTCTATGTAAGTCCCCATTAAATGGAGTTACAGAACCGATTATTGCTCTTACAGCTTCTGTAGAGACATGCAGTTAACCTTCCTTCCCCCAGTTTACACTCTCAGGGGTCATGGGGAGCAAAAGCTCTCTGGTAAGCCACAGTGGATTTAATTTTAAGTGCTGCTGGTGGCAAAGTGCTTATCCAAGGCATCAGTCCTCTGCAGTTCCCAGTTACAGGTGATCAGTCATCTGGGGATTGTAGAACGTTATCAGAACTCTATCAGAACAACCAAGTCACAGAAGCTGGCCACTTAAAAAGATTTGTTTCTGCGGTTTCTGTTTTTTTTGCCTGCATGTATGTGTATAACATGCATGCAGTGTTCATGGCGGCCAGAAGAGGGCATCAGATCCCCCTAGAACTGGAGTTACAGATGGATGTCCGCCTCCATATGTGTGCTGGGAATTGAAGCTGGGTCCTCTGGAGATCAGCCAGTGCTTTAACTGCTGAGCTACTTTTAAGTCGAGATGTCATCAAACTTAACATTTCCTTTTATTTAAGGTGCAGTAATATCTATAAATTTTATTATACTTATGCATTGTGTGTTGTTTGTTTTTGTTCTTTTTGGGGGTCCACCACCCAGTTTCCTAATAAATCACACATGGAAGCTTATACTTTATTATAAACACCCAGCCTTAACTTGGCTTGTTTCTTTCCAGCTTCTCTTAAACCATCTGGACTACCTTTTGCCTCTGGGCTTTTTCCTTTTCTTCTGTATATCTTACTTTATCCTTTGCTCCATGGCTGGGTGGCTGGGTGGCTGGGTGGCTGCCCCCCCCTCCGATGTCCTCCTCTACTTGTTCTCTTGCTCCTCCTTTTCCCAGATTTCTCCTCCTATTTATTCTCTGCCTGCCATCCCTGCCTATCCCTCCTCCTGCCTAGCTATTGGCTGGTCATTCAGCTCTTTATTCGACCACTAGGTGTTTTAAACAGGCAAAGAAACACAACTTCACAGAGTTAAACAAATGCAGCATAAACAAAAATAACACACCTAAAAATAATTTTCTGCGTGTTTGTATGTGTGTGTGTGCGCGTGCGCGCACGCGCAGACAGGAATATGCCACAGCATACTTGTGAAGGCCATAGAATAGGCCTTCTGTAGGAGTCATTTCTCTTCTTCCATTATGTAGGTCTTGGAGTTGAACTTGGGTCATCAGATTGGGCAAATAAGTGTCTACCTGCTGAGTCATCTCAGTAATCATATATATATATATATTTGAGAGAGGAGGGGAGGAGAAATGGATGCAACATTCTATGAAATAATCAGACAATAAATAACTGTCTATAATACTTTCAAATGGGATATTCGAGTACTTTAAGGATTACTTACATCATCTTAACTTTTCCTGGAGAATGTAGACTTTTCATACACCTCACTATAATGGTTATATCATGAAATAATAACTCTAGACAACAAAAGCGCTACTCAGCATGTGCTCATCAGAAAAGCATTGGGTGCATTTGGGAGCTTTTCAGATGGATGTGTTATTATTCCCATCTTTACAGGATTCAGGTTACCTAATACATTTATACAGTAGCACTCATTCACTCTCTAATCACTAAAAAATAAGTTGACCTCTAGAGGGTTTCATGCAGATAAAATTAATTTAAACTCAGTGGTACACATACATCATTTTATCAGGTATGATATTGTAGGCTTTTAGGCTTTTATCACTTAAAAGGTTTTTTGTGAAAGTGTCACTCTGGAAAACTTCATATGATTTTTGTTCTTATAGAGGTATGTGCTATTTATTGACAATGCATGTCTTGTGACAGTGAAACATGTAGTTCTTTTGTCAGTGATAATTTTTAGCTCTGAGTCTTTGCTTTATAGACTCAAATTTAAATAGATTGGAAATTGAACTAGCAAAATGGGGTGCCAAAGTTTCTATTTTCTGGTGATTCGCCTCAGAAACTAGAGATAGATAGAAAATGCCCTCTCTGAGAGTGACTCCTATTCAGCAGTTTAAATGTCACCGAATAAACAATCTGTCATTAGTTTGCTCGAATCACACTTAGAATACAGAAACTGGCTGCTTTGGAAGTAGTATGCATTATTTAAAGTTCATTTGTATGTATTTTGGCTTTTAATTTTTTTTTCTCTGAAAAAGGTAGAGTTTTTTTTTTTTCTACTGAGATCCATAGTCCTCCAAAATAGTCAGACCAATTTAAGTCAGGCCAAGTGGTTCTCACACTGGCCCAGGGCTCCTGTTTCTTCAGGAGTCTTTCCTCTCTTTCAGCCTCTCTCAGAAATCCCTGAAGACCAGGAAAGCAGAGGTTTCATTGTGTGTGTCTGTGTGTGTATGTGCTAAGCATTTTTTCTTGAGCAAGTTTTCATGACCTCCAACAAGGGTTTTCAGACATGTTCATGAGTATGCTTTGCTGATATGAAATATAACATACACTTCTCACGCATGGTATCATGTGTCGATAGTTCTGGCACTGGGGAGACAAAGACAGGAGGACCTCTGGGGCTCAGTGGCGAGCTGGCCTAGCCAGACTGATCAACTTCAGGTTCATCGATAGACCTTGTCTCAAAAAATAAGGTGGAGTGCAATAGAGGAAGACACCCAACACCAACCTCTGACGTCTACCCACACGTGGACACAGATACACCCCACCCTCACACACCCACATAAATAGAAGAGAAAATATCCCTACTTTGGGATGAGTGAATAGTATGTATATTTGGGTGTACTTTGGGGAAATTACTTGGAAATTGCAAAACCTCAAATAGGAAAACTTAAAAATCATCCACTAGGATATATTCTGTAAAATAACTCTTGACATATAAATATGTAAAGATGTATAAAAGTTTTTAAAAGATTTACAGGGTTCTTGTCTGTCTTTAAAGTAGAGTTTCTTAATAGGTTATTGCATTACATAAGAACATAAAACACACCATTTAGAAGACATACTGGTACAGCTACCAAATTGTGACGTCACCTCACTTTCCCATTAATAATGTTAAATATATATCTGTTTCTTTCAGTTGGATATGCCAAGTGACCAAGTAACTGCCAATCTTCAAGCAGTTCTAAATGAAGTCTGTAGGCACAGACCACAAAATCTGGGTGAGTAACTGGGTGAGGGTAGACTACCTTAAACCCCAGTGATACTGTACAAATATAAACTATTCAAAGAGTCAACATACAAGTACTATAGCTACAATACTTCCAGAGATTAAATAAATAAAATTTATTTTTTCAAAGAATTTTTAATTACTTTTCATGAATCATAAGGTTTTAGAGAGAGATTTCTTTATCAGAAATGAAGAATATACCCCCAAACCTTTGTAAATTTGCATAATCTTTCTACTGTTGAATGTATTAAGGTTTAAAGAAGACCAATTGCTTTCAAATTACAATGGAAATTACAAATAGGAAAGAAAGTCATCATGAACTAGTGGTTTGAAAAAGAAAGTCATCATGAACTAGTGGTTTGAAACCAGTTGGCCTTCTTAAGATTAACCTTTAGCCAGGCGCTGGTGACTCACACCTTTAATCCCAGCACTGGGGAAGCTGGGGTAGCAGAGGCAGGTGGATCTCTGTGAGTTCAAGGCTAGCCTGGTCTACAGAGCGAGTTCCAATACAGGCTCCAAAGCTACAGGAACAAACAAACAAAAAGATTAATCTTTATTTTGTAACAGAAAGTAGGTATGTTGCCATGTCAGGAGAGTCCTCTTGTAAATGGGGGACTCTCGTGCCATGGGGAGCGTCACTTACTTATGCACTATGGTAGCTAGAACATAAGCTACTTCTGGTGTTTTTGGCATTGCCTGTGTCCATTCCTCACACAGTCCACACTGTGGGTGACTGTCCTCATGAGGTTCTCATGCTGGGAGTTTGCAGGATTTAGTTCTATAATCAAGTTAACTAAAACACAAGTTTGAGCTACTTCTGCCATCCTTGAGAATTAAGCACATTGGTGATTGAATAACCCATTTATTCTTTCATCAAAATATGGCCAAAGGTTCTTATGTTGCATAGGGAAATTTGATCTTCCGAGTTAGTAAGAGAATAATGGACAGTAAATTCTTGTAACAAGCATTCTTCCTGCCAGCCTGGTCCCAGAGTTGCACCAACCCCAAATAACACACAGAGACTATTAGTTACAGTGCTGTCAGCCAGTGTCCAGGGCTTCTCGTTGGCTAGTTCTGTCTTAAGTATTAACCATGACCACTAATATAAATATAAATATATATATATATATATATTTCTATAAGGTCTTATCTTACCAAGAATGCCAGGCTTGTGCATCCTCCCCTGCTGGGATCACATGGTGACTCTCTACCCTTGACTACATTTCCCAGACTCCTCCTCAACTCCTAGTCCCACCTTTCTTGCTTCCCCATTGGCCAACAGTGCTTTATTTATCAACCAATAAGACAAACATATACCCAGAAGGACTTCCCCCATCAAATTCTCTTATATTTTTTATTGTGACCTTAGCCTTTAACTGCTGAGCTATTCCTCCAGCCCTAAGACAATAAATTTTCTAAAAAATTGCTCTTCTTCTTGAATCCCAGACTGATGGCTGAGAGGCCAACAGGGGACTGATCCAGACTCCATGAATGTAGTCTCAGTGAGGAGGCCACAGAAATCTCTGGGGCCTTGGATAGTAGATCAGTGTTCACCATGGCATATGAATGCACTTTGGGAGCCCATTCCACATGGAGGGATGCTCTCTCAGCCTGGGCACATGGGGAAGGGCCTAGGTCCTTCCCTGGATGAAATGACAGACTTTGGAGATCCCCCCAAGGAGGGTCTCACCCTCCCTGGGGAATGATGTGGGGATGGGGTGGGGGGCTGGAAGGGCTGGTGGAGGGACAAGGGAGGAGGGGTGGGAGAGGGAGCTTGGATTGACATATGAAGTACTCATGTTTCTAATTTAAATAAAAACATATACTGAGGGAAAAATTGCTCTTTTTTGCCATTTTAGATGAAGTCTCTTAACTTTGTTCTTAGGAAAAAATCTTTTAATTAGTTGAGAATTTTATCAACTATTTTGCACTCAAAGTTACCATCTGAGCTGACTGCTAAGTATTTAGAGTGTTCCCGTCAAACGTAAACATCACCCTGCTCCCTTTGCTGTTGACACTGCAGTAAGTAACTATACTTACTTGTGGAAGAAAGGACTGAATTTCTAGTGGGTGTGTCCTTCCCAGGATGATTCTAGTGCAGTCAGTTTGTCCAGGATAGCAGTGCAGACCTTCTAGGGGAGCATCCGAGTGCCACGGGCTTTCCTAGGTGAGTGCGCATCTGATCCCTGGGGTCTCAGTCGGAAAGTCACAGCTGGTTCTTATCTTTGTTCTAGGTCCATTTGTAGTTCGTGCCTTCCTTCGTAGTTCAACCAGTGAAGGTTTGCTGCTGAAGACTGACTCGCTGTTGTCCAAAGAAGTTGAAACCAAAGAAGCTACCTAAACGTGTTGTCTTGTGAAATTATTGGGGGGGGGGTGTAAAAAAAATAGCAACAGAGAAATGTATAAAACTGTATAATGTCTTGTTTGGTTCCTCATAATTTTTTGATGAATACATTTAGAAGTACATTTTAACACCTGAGTTTTTTTTTACAGTTTCAAAAATAAATGTCAGTTTTTAAAAATCCTTTCACACTTCCTTATTTTAATTTTTTGTTGTCCATGTGTTTCTGGTCTTGGATCGTCACATTTCCTTAGCAGCAGTCTGTATTTTGGTAGAATCTAGATCTGGGAGACTCTAGTTTCATAACACTCCTTCAGGAGACACGCCCATCTGCAGGAGTAGCAGCGCCCTCATTTCCCACCAGGCGCATGACAAACTGTTTGCTTTTGTGTGCATGGTGAGTGGAGGCTTCGATGGGGTCCAGAAGTCCAGGGTGGGAGTCTTTGTCAGTTGTTCTTCTCACTGATGTTTAGACACTAAATATGGCCTCCCCAATTTGGTTGGGCTGGCTGCCCAGTGGGCTCCAGGAACCCACCTACCCCACCTTCCAAGTCCCCAGTGTTTTAGTAGCCTCTGGGAACTCACATAGCCAGGAACAACTACTGCACCTCAGAAAGCTTTCTTCCCCATTGGAAAATGAAAGTTTAGGGATCATTTACCAAATATAGCGGCATCAGGACAAGACAGTAACAATGATTATCTTCTACTGAGTGTGTTATACCTCCATCTCACCCTCATGGCCACAGTAGGAAACCAGAACATCCAGTCTCCATGTGATGGGAGTTAAACTTGTGAGGTCCAGTAAGCATCAATGAGATCAGTCTGCTGGACTGGATGTCTTTCTGGCTCAGGTTCCAAGAGCTGGGGAGACTCGAGCTGTGCGCCACGCACCCAGCCTCCCCTGGGCCTTCTTAGCCATTGCTTTAACCATGAGATAAGTCCATGCCTATTCATGTGTTCTAAGACAGACTAAACTTACCGCTACAGTTTCAAATTCTGTAAGTATTGAATTAAAGCATTTAAGTTTCATGATTCTCGGGCGCCGGTGATGTGAGAGCTAAAAGACACGTGAGCAATGGGCTATGGGAAACTTGATGGAGAAGGCCTTTTCCATGGCTGCAGGTTCTGATATGAGCAATGGGCTATGGGAAACATGGAGAAGGCCTTTCCCGTGGTTGCCTGGTTCTGAAGTCCATGGGTGGATTGATCATTATTTGAAATCCCCATTTATGGGTTTTCTTCTTTATTGTTTTGTTTTGATTTTTTAATCTTATGTCTGCATGTGTTACTGGGGGCAGAGGTCAACAGCGGCTTCTTCCTCAGCAACTCTCTACCTTGTGTTTTGAGTCAGAGTCTCAACCTGGACTTCTCAGATTCATCAGACTGGCTGGCCAGCTAGCCCGGGCACCCTCCCGTCTCTGCCTTCCCTGGGGATTGAAGGAACCTGCGTCCTCATGCTTGATTGGCAGGCGCTTCCCCACCTGAGCCGTCTCCCAACCCACGTTTCCGTTTTTCATCACGTTCGGAATTGGACGGAAGTATTGTGTGCATGCTAGGCAAGTGTTCTACTGAGCCCAAAGCTACTGTTGTTTTGTCAATCTCTCCTGTTTCATGGAGTGTTAATCTTAGTACGGAAATCTTTAGAACACTGATAAACATGAATCACTCATAATCCTGCTACTCAGAAATAGCCAGAATTAATCTTTTAGTGGACATTCCTTTGACATCTTCAGTTGAGGTAGGCAGGAAAAGAACACACACACACACACACCACACACATACACACAGGCACAGGGACAGGCATGAACACACACATGCGGTTTTTTTTTTAAAGATTTATGAGTATTTTGCCTACATGCATATATGTTAAGCATGCCATGTATCCATGGTGGCCACAGATGGGCATCAATTTCCTGTAACTGGAGTTACAGGTGGTTATGGGCCACCATATGGATGCTAGGAACGAACCCAGGACTCTAAGGGTGCTCTTAGCTGCCAAACTTTCTCTAACCACACATACATGCAGTTTGAAAGCAATCTTTTATTCAAATTGCATGGAAAGTGAGTTATATTTCATCCCTTTATTGTAGCATTCCCTCAGTTATTGGGAATTAACATGGTTTCAAGGTCCCCACCCACTGGTTTTTAAAAAGCAAGATTGTGAAGTCTTATAGTAAAAGTCGTGGATCCCAAACTTTGGTTTACATACAAATTATTTAGAAGGCTTACAAAGCACAATAACTGGTCTTTACCTGGCAGCAGCAGATTGATCCCAGAATTTAGCATTTCTCATCAGGTAGTGTGACTTTGTAATAAAAAGAAATTCTGATTTTCAGACCAGCATCAGTTTATTTTAAAATTACACAAATGATCCTAACTAAAGTGCCAGGTTAAAAGTCATTGGACGCCTAAAGTTTTATATCAAGCAGTTGACCTCAGCGTCCAGTAGGTGGCGCCAATAGCCTTTGATACAGCTTTTGAATGGTTGGCGCTATCTCACCTGACTGCAAATGAAATAGAGATAATCCTGAATAGACCAGTTGGAGCTTCGTTTTAGAGTAAATGGTTTGTTTGTATTCTATTGGGGTCATGTTATAGAGGCTTCTTTGGATGTCTATTGGATATGTATAAGTATTTCTTCATGTGTATATTTGTGTCTGGTTATGCATTTACAGGTCAGGTGCACTGCACGTACAAGTTCCCACAGAGCCAGAAGACAGCATCGGATCCCTTGAAGTTGAGGTTACAGGTGGTTGTGAGCTGTCCAGCATGGGTGCTTGGAACCAAACTCGGATCTTCTGGAAGAACAAGAAGTCTTCTTAATCACGGGACTGTCTGTCTGTCCAGCCTCTATTTTGGAGTTTAAAAGTTATTATAGAAAGTTTCAGATGTGAAGGAAGCAAAAGAAGAAAATGGTGAGCACCGACGGGCATATCAACCATATTTGGCAACTCAGCATCCTATTGGTGGACTCTCATCGGTACTTCCTCCCTACCCTCCTCCCTAGGTAATGGCAAATCCCACTCATCACACGACTGAAGTTTAAAAAGCAGCCGAACAAAAAGTTTTTATTTTTCAAAGCCCATCTAACCATTGGGAATCTAATGGTTAGATCATTCACATTTCTTTAATAATTATATTTTTTCACATAATAATGAATAGCATAGTCTCGTACTTGGAGAACGCTGGGCATGGAAACGTAATTGGCAACAGAAGAGATGTGTAAATGTTAACGTTTGAAAACATAAGAACTTTGTATTTCCACTTAATTTTTCTTACATATAAAGTTGTAATTTATTTCCACAAGGAATAGAAAAATGTTATACTTACATCTAAACATATTCAGAGTAAGAGAAAATAATCCTTTTGGGTCCAGTGAGATACTCTGAGGCACCTGCTGAGCGTGGCCTGGCAACTGTTGTTCAATCCTCAGAGCCCGCGCAAAGGTGGAAGGAGAGATTCAACTCCAGAGTTGTCCTCTAACACAGCAGGCAGTGGTACACACACACACACACACACACACACACACACACACACACACACACACACACACACACACACACACACACACGAGTCCGGGGAGAAAAGGGAGGTCAACAGTTGATAAATAGAATAAATAGCACTTCAAATTTTGTCAAACAAGGGAAAGTTTGAAGAAAACCTTTAGTGTCCTGTAAACCCTAGGCAATTTAAAATGGTTATGTTTCCATTTTTCTTCTCCTGGTTGAGGACACAAAGGTCCTACAGGTCACTGTAGAAACCAGCGATGTTCATCATGCGGGCATGTTTCCTCAAAGGAGGAAATGCATGTTTTTCTCCCAGAAGGCTTGGACCTGTGACCTTTGCTGTCTGTGGAGGCAGACCTCACCCACCTTCTGCTATGGAGGCAGACCTCACCCACCATCTGCTGTAGAGCCAGACATCATCCAAATCCTCCACAGTGTTTATCTCAGGCTCTCCCTCTCTAGACCGTTAGCTCCCAGTTAATAGAACCCATCCTTGGGAGGGGGGGAGTGTCACATGTACTTTATGGCCTGTCAACTGTTATGCTGTCTCCGTCAGAGACCATAATAAATTCTAGGCCCTTAAGCTATAGAACCCACCATCATGGTCACTTGTATTTCTTAAAGGAGCTTCTATGTAGTCACACTGTAAGCTTTATTTTGCACCTAGAATCAGAATGACTGTTGTCCAGAAACCTTTTTCCAAATTCTACTGTGTTTAAATATGCCCACAGTAAACTGCCTGGTGTCAGACTCTAGAAGTTTTGATTTAGGTTGACGGCGTCACTGTGAACCCAGTTGTCATTCGCTAATCTTTGCAGTGCATGTCCCTGCCTGCTGTGACATCTACAGGCCCCCCCACCTCACTCCATATGTGGACATCTGCCCTCCTGGACACTAGTACTAATTACAATACCAGTTACGATATTATGATCATATCGCGTATAGAGGGTGAAAGGAGACATCATTTGATGTCTGAAGATCCCCACCTGTCCTGTGCTTCAGTCACTTTAAATGGGAAAACAAGAAGGAATCAGTGTTAAATGACAAGTCTAGCATTTTGTGTATTGTCAAAGGGTAATCTCTGGTGCCATAACAAATGATAAATGATTCATAGGTTGTGTGAGTAATTAAGGGGCCTGGAGTATAACTCAATGATAGAGTGCTTACCAAGCATGACTGAGGTATCTCCATCACTACAAAATAAAGAAATAAATAGGTATATCTATAATATCTCTCAGGAAAATATGACTAGAACATATAGACAATAATGGATGTTATTATTACCTAAAGTTGGCATTGTAATTATGCTCATTTTAAAAGTTAAAGTATTGTTATGTAAATTATGTGAACTGCAAAACTCCCAGTGTGGTCATGTCGTTTACTTTCCTGCTACATATATGAATGTTTATACTTTCTTTACATCTTCCCGGAGGGAAGATTTGTTTTGTTTGTTCTGTAGCATGAAGAACCCTTTGTCAAGTTGCTTGGGGAAGTAAGACTCGGATCTTTGCATTTACATTCTAGTATTTGATAAAATCAGACCCACAATCTTTTAAAATTTGTTTCTAATGCATGTTGCAATTTCAGATATTACTGTTTTTAATCTAGGATGGGAACTGCAAGCTCACGGCCAATCCTCTATCAACCTGCATTTCCAGCACGGCATATGACCTGCTG